CGACACGGCTTTTGAGTTTTGTAACCGTCCGAGACGAAAGTAAATCATGCAGTCGGGAAAACGTCTTACTTTGGAAGATTATTTTGCAAAACATACTCGTACACACAAGAATCATAAAAATACAAATGTTGAATTGTTATTGTCAACTGTCAAGTTCAGTTATTTTTAGACAATATGGTGTTAGCCAATCAGAATGCAAAAGTGACCGGCCCGGACCAGGGCTTCCTCGTGTCTCGCCTCGTCCTCACACTGAAGCCCTGGGAACGAGGTTGGGGTTACAGTAATGTCAATCTCGTTCCCCGAGCCTGCGATCCTTGGGAAGGAAACGAAGGCTCTGGGATAATCCATCTCAGAAATGAATATGATTGGTTGCTGGTATACAATGGAATGTTGCAATTTTGCAAAAATTAATTTTTAACCGTATATTTTTATATACAACATGGCGGCCGTTTAGGAGTGTACGAATATTGTTTTGGTTTTTCAGAGCTGTGCTATATACTAATACTACAAAGGAAATGCAAAGAAACGTATACTTAATGCGTATAATATCACAACAGTTAAATGGAGCGTGAAAACTTTACTCATATTTGCGTTGTACAGGTTTTCTGTAGTTTTAATCTATACATAGTATACAGTACTGTCAGTACACTGTACTATTTGACTATAATATCAAATATGTGCTATATTTTGCAAATACTATTTGTGTCAGAAATGGTTAATAACTTTTATTAATTTGTTTTTGTGTTATTTAATTGCGAAGAACTAGCTAATAACTAGTTTCAATAAATCCAATTTGGGGATTTACTGTTATATATTTTATTATTTAATGTATATACTGTACTTTAACTTGTAGCATGTAACCCTTCCCTATATGGGTGCATATGAATCTTTTGCTGTTATAATTTATTTATAGAAGAGTTCAAAAAACCTTTATTCTCTAAATAAACCACAATTTCACAGGCAGTTATATTAACTTGTATTCCAGTCTGCATACACCTAATGCACCTATCAATGTTAACCCCCAGAGGGAGGTGGGGGTTGGGCATATGTGGGGTATTTGATCATCAATTGCTTCCCCACCCTGAGGATTTTGAATAGCATTTTGGCCCCGAGTTGGGGCAATCTGAACCGACTGACTGTTATTAACATAGTATTTATTGCAATTTATTGCAAAATTGTGCGGCATTTGACCAATATTTATTGCCCGACGGTGGGGTATTTGATTGAAAATTTGCTCTAAAAATAAAATGCCCCCACCTATGCCCAACTCCCCTCCTCTGGGCCATAACATTGATAGGTGCACAATAATATGAATTCTTGGGTTTCACTATGGCATTTTGCACATTCTGTCATTGGTTCTGACAGGGGGTCAACCTAAAAAATGTATTGATGCTTATGTTGTACTGGAGTGAGCAAATGATATGAAATTGCATGTATTTGCTACCAAACACAAGGCCAACACATACAGTGAAAAATTAATTCACTCTGATGACTGTGTCTCGATTTAGAGTTGACCACCCATCAAATTTATGACTTCATATGAAATACAATAATATACAACATAATATTACTGACAGCTAATTGTAGCATAAAGTATTTAATGAGTTTAATTTATTGAGTAGCACGATATGCCAATTTGGCAATCCCTTTGTTAATCTTGTCCACACAGTAATTCGAAGAAGCCCTGCCCTCTGTACGAGGTTGTATTAATTGGATTCTGTCCAAGAAAACGTCATTGATCCAGATGTTACAAAGTATGAATTCCAGATTGGGAGACCATATAAATATTTTTAATAAATTCATATACTTTTTTTTAAGAAATGTTCTATTTATATTAAATGATAGTGATCATGCAGCCACCAATACCAGAATTCATTTTCATCAGCTTCCCCGTGGTTATGACCCCCTGCAGGGAACCACCTAGGGTGCAGGTATAATTTTGTGATAAATGATAAAAAAATGCCCAATATAAATGCCGAGCCATAGAAATATTTTTATTACCATGGTCATGACAACTACCCTGTCAGTTTGATTGCAATATCAAAACTCGTTATTTACACTATAAAACAACACATACCTACTCTGAGAAGGGGAGGGGCAACAAAACTCGTATATTTCAGTTTTTTCCCTTCCCATCCAATTGAAATCACGCTGGCCACGAAAACAATTTCCCGACTGCGATACAATAAATTGCCAAATGCCTGACAATTTGGGCTAGTCACGCCCCTGAATGCTATAATGATAGCAACCTCTATTGCTATATCTCCAACCTTGAATGTCATATTTAGTACAGTAGTTAATTAATTAATGGCAGTAATCAACATGAAGTCAACTACATTTTTGGCCATTGATGAGAAATATTGTCCAGAAGTACAGTGAAATAACAAAATAGGGTGCACTAAAGAGCATTGTGGCTTAATGATCTAATGAGATAATTAACCAAAGATAGGTAGACATGCAGATGGATAGCCTGCACGCAGACTATATAATGACATAATTATATATACATCATTATATAGTCTGTGTGCAGGCTAGCAGATGGACAGGTTAACCCATTCAAATAATTCTGGCATTAAACAGCTTAAAATAACAAAGTAGGGTAAACTGAGGCACATTGCAGCTTAACTTGCTCCAACTCTATCATAATCAAACTGTAAATCTTTAATTAATATAGTAATTCCTATCCAGACACAAAATTTGGTTATAATTCAATAATTTGAAAAGTGCTGTTGCATCCCTAACCTACTAAACTGCTTGCAAATATTAAAACATATAATGAAAGCTATAAGGGCAGTTAAGGATTTGGTTTATAAACTGTTAATTTCTAGAGATGATATTAAACACAATACAAACATGGAATTCACTATATTCATATTTTTAATGATATGTTTTATAAGTCTAAATTCCTTTTAATATTCCTACAAATCTTCTGAAAACTTTAATGTTATCAAGGTTTATAACCAACTTAATATTAGAATTGAGACTCTCTTCAGGTATTTTAATACTACAGTAGCAATTAACACACAGTACATTGTTTTTGTTCTTAAAAATTGCTCTTTCCACGCGCTCTTTCAACCATTAGAAACATAATAGCGTTAAACGGCTAAATTATGCTGGAGGAACCACAAATGTCTCTACATTTAAAGCTTTTTCAAACTGACACAGAGGTGAATGGACAAGATTACAATTAATTGTGACATTTTTCTTCGACAACAGCACTCTTCGCGGCTCCTGCTGGCTCTATACTGACCCTGTTTCACACGCAATATTTTCCTTATTCAGTCGCTAACACACCTTTTGTATCCCACTATGAAGAACATCAACATTTCCACCAAAACTCCGAAAAAATCATCATTTTATAGACGAAACAATAAAATATTTCAAACAATTTGTTTTGCTTTTGGCAACGCATGCGCAGTTTGGTCGACATACAGTTTTCTGTATGTCTGAGATGGATTATCCCAGAGACTTCGTTTCCTTCCCAAGGATCGCAGGCTCGGGGAACGAGATTGCAGTAATGTTGGAATTAGGCATTGGGTAGAAAATAATAGGGTTAGGATTTCCATCGACTGTCTATGATAAATTAAAGGTCAATCAGCAAATTTCAACTTCTCATTGCCATTTGAAACATGGTTTCGTATAATTCCAAACGATTCTTGTTAAGCTAATAAATTTGTTCGGTTACCATGAAATCGAGTGTATTAGTGTTAATCTTGCATGTAATGAGTAATTTGAAGAGAGCTTTTTAAAAATCAGATGAATTTTTGTGAAATTTCCGGTCTAAAAATACTCCCGCAGGGTCAAATCGCAGGATTGATGGAACTGCTATAATAAAACAGAAAGTTGAAACGTTTTAAAAGAAGCCTAATTAATATTGACTATAATTATAGTTCATATGCAAAATATGAGCACAATTTATTTTTCCTTTCGAAAACCGGTGAGTGGACTTTCGTGAGAGGCCCTCTTACCGTAACTATATTAGATACGAGGCTGGAGCGACACAAGAACGGCAATGGTTCAAACGCATGCAGTACCAAATACAATGTTATTACAATGATCTGATTAGACAGGTTTAGATCGCAGACGTCAAATACGACGTCAAAATGGCGTGGCATATCCATACATCGACACAACACGCCATTTTCACGTCGTCTTTGACGTCCGCGTCTTCGATCTAAATTTGTCTTTCAATTTATAATTGACAAGGTTGGGACGCATTCCCGAGCGAATCCTAAATTAAATTCAAAATTTACAAATAAGCTTATTTTTAAATTACAAGATGGCTAATCTAATACTAGAACAAAATTTCAAAAAGTTGAGTTAAGTTTGGCACATGAGTGGAACGGCGTGTGAATCAATGTCGCTCCAACGTAGCATAATGTGACAAGCTCTGCCGAACTTGTGTCGCTCCAAATTTTGATGTACTTAATTAATTAATTCATACGTCGCCCTTCTTCGGCAAATAAGTACGCCATCTGATCGAAACGGACCTAATTTAGTCCTTCCAAGATGAAAGCATGCCTAACATTACATGCTGAAACTGGGATTTGCATATTTCTGGACTGGGAAAATGGGATTTGGGTTACTGGGACTGGAATGAAAGCCCCAAAAATGGGAATGGGAAAATCCAATTACCATTATAAAGACAGCTGTTGTTGTTGGATATTTCAGAGTGAAATAACTTTAAGAACAGCTACAGAGCAATTTTTGATGGAGGATTTGTATTAAAAAAATCCAAGTCCAGAAAAACTGAATTCAGTAACCGACTTGTGGCTCACTGAGGTCATTCTTCCGCTATTGTAAGTCTGTCAGATACTTCACTTTTTTTCGGCAAAACTAGTCCTAAAGAAGGCAATTGAACGTTTAAAGGTCGTCATATGGATGAACCACCTGCTCAGGGATTTTATTTCAATTTCACGGTGGGACTAGGCGGGCTGGAAAGTGGTATCTAGAGCCCCTTTCAGGACACCCATATAACGTCTATGTCTCAACTGTTTTCTAGACTGAGGATTTTGTAAAGGCAGGTAAACGTTTCCTAGAGGTATTACAAAAGAAAAACTCTGAGCAAGATAGAAGACTTGAAAAGATTGAGGGAATATTAAATGGTAAGTCCTAAAAGACTATTCTACATCTATACTAGATGTAAAAAGTGTTTATATTAGCGCAATTTTATGTTCCTAACGAAACGCAACCTTGTTTTTAGTAAAGGGCTTAGGAAAGAAAAACTGCACGGATAAACGAGATTCACAAATACAAAATCTGAAGAAAAAATTTGAAAGTCTTGGAGATATGTTAAAATCGAAACTTGAAAAGATTGAAGGAATATTGAGTGGTAAGTGTATGTAAATCGTTTTAATTTGCATGGAAAATTCAAAAATTTTGTTTTTATTTATTATCACTAGTGTGTTATAGTTCTGATTGCGGGGGCTTATTAGAGACGAGCTTAATTAGCTGATTTTTTACCTCCGTCATGCTTACGAACTTAAACTCACCATATGCTTACAAACTTAAAAATATCTAACGTATTAATACGATAATTTGTGTAACTAATGGACATTGCCCATGGACAAATTGATTAAATTTTGGTTAAGTTCGATGGAAATTGGATCAGAAATTATAAACTGAATGCGAAATTAGCCCATTGCCTAACTTATGCATGACACATAACTTAATTCTCTGGCGGAGGTGTGCAGTCTCCGAGTGCACTCTAGTTGTTTCTTGTTTTAGTAATGCGTCTATATACGATTTCTTTTCTTGCACCTTGGGGATGACTAATTGAAGAGGGGAATCGATAGAAAGGAGGTGAAACTTATTAGAGAGGGGCTTAATAGGGGATAACTTTAAAAATTATTATTATTCAATTTTACTAGCTTCAGTCACGTCAGGTTATGGTTCAAAATCAAACCCTGGAAAGTCGTGTAAATATATCCTAGCAGCAAATACATCCGCAGTTTCGGGAACATACTGGATTAAGCCTGCTGTCAGTACGTTATTTCAAGTTTACTGTGACATGAAAACTAATGGGGGAGGCTGGAGTTTAGTTTACAGCTACACCTTCACAAATTACAACAGTTTTACCTCAGGAACCAATGCTGTAACGCCCCGTCCAAACTGGCCTGTTAGTACGGCCAATGTCCCAATCTCAACCACTCCTTCAGTCAATGAGTCATCTCTTGGGGCTGTAGACTGGAATTTTTGGAAGCACATTGGGCAAGAGTTGATGGTTAAGTCGAACGTCAATGATTGGATTGTTTGTCAACCAAATGGCGGAAGTCTGGTCGCAAAGAAGGATGGATCAATGAGTTGTCAGAATACAAAGAACGTGGCAACAGCTTGTAGTGGGGTGGCACCCAGCAGAATTCGTTGGAATGCTCATGGACCATTCTTGAGTGCTTCCTCATTGTATTATTACTTTGATGGATACACAGGTGGTGACTGGCCAACACATGATCCTTGCGGTAAAAACAATGGAAATCACAAGAAAGGAGTCAGCAACCCTGGCGGACAAATCTATCTTCGCTAGAATTGAAAACTCTACATTCAGTAGTTTGTTTTGTATAACACTTGATATATAACATGCACAAGTAATCAGGACATAGATATAGTCATATGTAGCCTCTTTATATAATCACTAATTTCAATAAAAACGACATTAATGATACTGCATGGAAAGCATTTCAAGGTATTATCCATAATTTCGAAAAACTACCCAGGATAAGAAAAAGAAAACATTTAGCATTAGTATTAGTATTAGTAACTTTGTATTGGTAATCGAGAAATAAATTTCAGTTTTCGTAATTCAAGCAGATCTCGCAGCATTAATTTCGATTGGGAGAGCTAGGCTCGCCGAAAAGCCTCGGCCAAGAACGGGCGTATTCTTGACACTGCGGCACACGAGAGAAAATTGCTGAGCTAACCGCCTCGCGTGGCGGCTAGCTCATGCAGGCGCTCAGCTATGCATTGTCGCCTCACACAATGGGAAAATTACTCAACAACAACATAATTGACAAAATCGTTTGCATTTTCCTCCATTTTGTTCAAAGTCACATGAAGAAACTGTGGTTTCTCATTGGCTAATTGATTCAAGCAGCTCAGCGCTAAGCTCGCAACATCCGCAGATGTTGAGATTTTTTCCTCGCGAGGTAAAAATATCAACACGATAGATATTTTCCTCAAGGCTTTGAAAGGTCAAATCCTTACAAAAACTATCCTCACACGAGAGAAACTTGCTGAGCTAGCTGCCACGCAAGGCGGTTAGCTGAGCAAGTTTCTCTCGCATGCGGATTTAAGCCCGTTCTCCACTGGGCGAATTTGTTCGCGCGAACAGTAAAACAGTAGGAACTGATCCAGCTTTTCGCGGCGAATTTTTTGCTGATCAATCACATTGCCAAATATGTTTTTCGCTTTCTTCGCGCGAAAAAATTTGCCTATTGGAATATGGGCTTAAATCCCTGTCTCTATGCCCCAACGCACGCTGTTCAATCGTTAATCCCGTCATTATCCTCTTTCATCTCTCAAACGATAAACGCTAAAAAGTTAAAAACTTACTGTGAAACCTTCAGTAGAAAAGAATGTGCATGATAATTTACATTCCGTGTTTATAAAAATCCGGCAAATATTTCAACCTGTTTCAAGACAAATCATCAATCTGTGGGGGTAGGGGGGGGGGGGCGGGGGGGGGGTTGAGGTCGAAGGTTTTTTATCAAAAATAAAATGTCTCAGAAAAATTTGTCACATACTATTTTTCGATAATGGGAGATTAAAAATTCGTTTTAAGACATTTGTGCACCTTAAATTTTCAGAATATTCCTTTATATATAACACGTTCCGCAATTCGAGCATTCCAGGAGCCTCTCTGGGAAAGTTGGGCCCCTTTTCATGACTTTTCTTTGGGGGATGTTACACCCCCCCCCCAGTAGTTCCGGCCCTCTCGGTGTTCTGGCCTATATCCCCTGTACGGTCATGTTACTTTTATAAGCCCCCACTCCCCCAAAATCAATGTCCAGTTATAGTCATTGTAAAGTTACCGAAAGTTGTTTCGGAGTTGTTCACAACATTGAAATAATATTAGTACACACTCAGTCAATACCCAGTCATTAACTGAATTTGCAATGTTGGAAGGAATAGTCTCAAGAGATATGTCTATGATTGTACGTAGTTTCTCTGGATAGCTGGTCTTGTGGGCACACTATAGCTACGTTTACACTGTATGATCCTGTATCGGATAGGTTTTTGCTTCGTTCGCAAAACGCTACGGCCCAAGTGTAAACAGCTTCCGCCACCGCCTTTCTATGGCGAAAATATTGCAGACGCCATTTGAAAGAGTGACCAAGCTATACCGGTAACCTTAGACTGTTTGCAGGTTATGGCAAGAATACAACTGGCAATAAATTAAGCGGCGACTTCTAAGCAAGTGGCAGATTTTATGATAGTACAGTATAGAGACCGATTCGAAAAATAGTTGGTTATCAATATATTAATTTATATTTTCGAAATAATATAATTTCAAAATTTAAAAAAATTGTATTGGATATAATGCCATGTACATTAGTAAATGCTAAAGGCCGGCGCACACTAGAGCTATGTGCTTAGCCAAATTTCATTCGTGCCCATTGGCGTAAGGAGATAGCTCTCGTGTGCGGGCGATTTACGAACGACTTTTGTCATTCGTGCCACTTACGCCAAATATCTAACATGTTTGATAATTTCTGCCTCGCGTGCCAAAATCTTTCCGTGTGCGGCGAACGAAAGCTATCTGCTTACGGATTGTCGTAACAGCGCATGCGTAGTATACGAAAGTAAACATCCAAGATGGCGGCGCAAAATGAATTGCTGGCCGAGGCAATTTTAGAGGACAAACTTGTGGAACTTTGGCCTGAATATAAATGTTTATATGATGTGAGTTCTAAAGATTTTAGAAATAGGGACAAAAGGGAATGTGCGGTGAAAGAAATAGCCAGTAAGCTTTCTCAAACAGGTAATATATTAGCACTTGGATAACTCTCACTAAACTTTGTTTACCATTTTTATTTAAATTTTCCCGCCACGATGCGGGAATATTTAGTTATTCTGAAAAGCTGTCACGTGCGACACTATTAACAATTTAAATATAAAACGGCATAGCCAGTACTGTGACTGAAAAAGATCAACAAAACGTACACATTTCCAGCATAAGAAAATCTTTGTTTCGTCGCAATGTCAAAGTTTTGTTTGATAATATTTTTAGGTAATACTTTAAAATAAACCTATTTGTGAACCAGTACAACATTTAGACCTTTTTAAATATAAATTTGTTTTATTTGTAGACGATGGTTTATATCTGTTTTAAATGTGGTTATAAAATTTGTCAGGGTAATATATTAAAACAAAAACGGTTTATGCATAAGGATTGGACTCAAATGACCCAATTTATAGACAAGTGGGTTAGATTCTGCTGTATACTATGACGTTAGGCCACATAAAAAAAATTCCTTGATTCTCATCACTACATTTTGAAAATGTCGAAGAGGCGGGAGGTTTATATTTTATATTTATATAATTTATATATCAAGAAATAAAAAAATAATTCCTAACATTTAATATTTCTGTGATTTCCAAAGTGAAGTGTCACAAACCGAAATAAACATATTTCTCCACGAACAATGACTGAACCCTTGAACTGAATGCGAAGTTCCTTTAAAATGCAATGAAATTTCTTTCAAGGTTCTATTTGTTTGAAATTGGCAGTTTAAAATGGCACTAAAAACCCAATATAAAATATAAAAAACTTAACTGTCTTGAAATATTTTGTCGGGCGGCACATTTATATTGTATAACAAAATATAAAAAATTTTCACGCGGCTCTTAAAATACAGTCGGGCGGTGATGAGAATCAAGGAATTTATTAATATGTGGCCTTATATGTGTTGTACTTTATAGTATTTGTTGCACCAATGGAATTTGAATTATATTATCTACAGTATATCAATATGATATTTTTATATTGAAATAGAATTCTATAAAGGTCACTATAAAGTTTGAAAAAACTTATCTATTAAATTTGTAGATGACTATGTGAAAGCAAAGTTGAAATCATTGAGAAACAGCTACACCAAAGCAAAAAAACCTCAAAGCAGTGGAAGTGCGAGAAAATCGCTGAGCAAGCGTGCCGCTTGGATACGGGATAAGCTGCAATTCCTTGAACCGTATATTGCAACTCGAATATCAACCTCGAGTATAGATGTAGTAAGTATTTTAATGGAAGCTGTAAAGATGTGCTCGTGCCAGGGGGGAGCTGCCCCCTACAATTTCACCACCCCACCCCCTAAACCATAAATAATGAAGACTCCTTTAGGTAAAATCTTAAATTTGATACATTTTATATCATATTGTCCTGCCATGTAACAGCCCCAGCACCCGAGAAATAGCTGGTGAGAAGCTGGTGTTGTTGCTTTGCACTTCTTGTGGGGTTGCGGTCGGTGGTGCAGGACTGCAAACGGTTGAGTGGAGGGTCAGCTCTCCATGCTCCAGACAAGAATGTGTGATCTCCACTTTCAACATCACCAGCACTGGTGTATGCATGCTTGTTGTTGTCGACCATAAAATTGTGGAGGCAACATGATGCCAGGATCAAGTACGTCACTCGTTGGGGACTTAACTTTATTGTTGTGAGAAACACACGAAATCGGCTGGCAAGAATTCCAAACGCATTTTCAACAACCCGTCTGGCGCGAGATAACCGATAGTTGAAAATGCGTTTGGGTTTATCCATATGTCGGTGGGGATATGGTTTCATCATATTCCTAGTAAGTGCAAACGCATCATCTCCAACCATATGATAATTGATTAAGGCCTCTGGTATTCCTTCAACACATGCTGGTGGTGGTAAATTGAGGGACCCGTCGTCTAAGGTCCTCTTCAGGACTGAAGCATTAAAGAGCCCAGCATCTCCAGCACGTCCAGCAGCTCCAGCATCTACATAAATAAATTTGTAATTGGCATCAACTACAGCCAAAAGTAACACACTGTAGAAATGCTTATAGTTGTAAAACTCAGAGCCACTGTCATTTGGATTCTGTATGGCAATGTGCTTTCCATCTATCGCCCCTATGCATGATGGGTAATTCCATTTTTCTTCAAACTCTTTTGAGACCACCAACCAATCTGCCACAGATGATGGAGTCTGAAAAAAGAAAGTGCATAATAAAATTTAATACAATTTTTTTTGTTACACTTTGATTAGACTGTGTCACATACTACCATTCCAGATAGTGCCGAGTCGACAGATCAGCTAAATAGCCTGAATGAGAGCATTAATGATGCGGACAGTATCGCTGATGATTTGTTGGCAAATGATGATGATCCTGACAGTGAAACCTCACCTGCACTGCCAACCAAACAGCCATTAACTGGTAAGTTATCCCGAAGGAAACAGGCAGAGCAGGAATTTGAGCTAATCAAAGGCCTTGCAACCTCAATAGCAGAACGACAAAACAAACGGCATAAAACAGCTGACACTCATGATGAATCAATGAGCTCATTTGGTCGGTATGTGACTGAATCATTGGCAGAACTTGAGCCAAGAATGACACATTTGGCCAAACACCATATAAACAATGTATTGTTCCAAGCACAAATGGGGACACTATCATACCAAGAGGGAAACAACACAGCATTTTCATCAGCTCCTGATCCACAACACAACTGGTTTCCACCCAATCCACCAATGATGAATTTCCCCTCTTATGGAAGGGTGCAGCAGAATTTCCCAAGTACATCTAGTACCCCTCTATGCAACCTTGGTCAAAGCAACTGGCCTGAGTTGATCCAGCAACAAGAAAACAACCTACATGTTGAATAACTCATTACATATATTGATGCTGAGTAATTATTGTATTAAATTATTATTTATTAAAATATGTTGAATAATTAATATTTAATTTTTATTTATTAACTATATATATGTTATATAATGAATTATTGTTGTTGAAGGAATATTGAATTATTATTTATAATTAAATGTTGAATAATAAATTATTATTTATTGATATGTGTAATATTGTTGTATAATAAAATATTGTATCACTATTTTTCTAATTAATATTTTATTTTTGTAATCCATATACTCAGTTAACATATCGTGGCAGCACTTGGCTCTTGTTGTCATTGATTGACTTTACATCAGACTTCAGTCCCAGAATCCCAGTACGATTTAATATTTTCAGTATAGACATCTGTGAGAATTTGAGATCGTAAATTTATGTGGAAATTTTAAATATACTACAAATATACTATTTTTTACAAATTAAGACGTTGCAACAATACAGCACCTTTAAGAAGTTTCCCTTCATTGTCCCATACAGTGCCAAACATGTTTCTTCAATGATACCAGATATTGTTCTTTCTCCCATCCTGAATTGAAAAGCCAAACTTCTAAATGATTCACCTAAAATTTAATAGATTAAATAGTTTTGTAAATGTGCACATGATACGATTTGTCTCATATTTATACAATACGAGCTTGTATAATTATTTATAAAAATGTCTATAAACCTGACCTGTTGCAAGGAAACGTATTGTGACAGTGAGACGTTCTCTCGGACTGATCGAAAACCGCATTTGCGTGTCTTGCTTTACTATCAATGGGTTCACCATAGTTAAAATGCTTTCAAATGACTGCCTGTCAATACGATGATATTGTCGAAATTGCTCTGGCTCTTCGGCATTTAGTTCTTTAACAAGGTTCGCGTAGGCTCCTTGACCCTGTCGTCTCATAATCCATCGCTTCGTCCATGTCTGACGATTCAATGCTCGTAAGCGTCGACGGCGACGACGCAACAGCAAACAAAATAACAACACTTCTTCGTCTTCACATTCATCCATTTTGTGAGCTGTTCGCCATCTTGGATGTTTACTTTCGTATACTACGCATGCGCTGTTACGACAATCCGTAAGCAGATAGCTTTCGTTCGCCGCACACGGAAAGATTTTGGCACGCGAGGCAGAAATTATCAAACATGTTAGATATTTGGCGTAAGTGGCACGAATGACAAAAGTCGTTCGTAAATCGCCCGCACACGAGAGCTATCTCCTTACGCCAACAGTCACGAATGACATTTTGCTAAGCACATAGCTCTAGTGTGCGCCGGCCTTAAAGAACCGAGTTTTTTTGATAGATTGGCAAACAAACCTGACTAGCCTCGTTTTGGTGCTGTACATTTCAAAGCTAGGGCTACAATTTCGTTTGCGTCTTGTACTTTTACACTTTGCCTGAAATTACGTATACAGTCTCAGTTGCATGAAATACTGCTTCTTAGGGCATGTTTATATGGAGGCGAGTTACCCGGCAAGGCGAGTTACTCGCCCAGGCGGGACAAACAAGCGCTCTGTTTATACGGAATCGAGTTACTCGGCATTTGCTGCATGATTGCCGCATGACGCCGAAATGGCGCCAAAACACAACCAAAGGCCGTTGAGCCGTATACAAGATTGCAGTTCAGTGGCCGTCACTGTGTTACAAAATATTAAATGCAGCGCATTGCGGAGCCCCCTCGCATAAACCATTTTGCCTCCCCCCCCTTCAGTACTCCCGGCCAGTAAAAGTCCCTTTTTGCCAAAATATGAGGAAAAGGGGAAGGATAATTTAAGTTCAGAGGAATGTTTTAGTATTCATTGAACCAAAATCTTGCTGTCACGCGGAATGCTCAGATTGTCTAGTTGTGATGTATCAAAAGGTTTTGTCTGAAACTGCACGAAATTTATCCCCAGAGGCACAAAAGTAGAACTTTTATTTGTTACTGTTTATTACTGATAAAACAATTATTGGATGAGATTAAGATATCCAGGCCAAAATATTTTCAGACCAAGGTATACAAAGGCTGATATAACCAGGGTTGCAGGGAGCTTCCTATAGTTTGGGTTTCCTGGCGAATATTGATCACCGAGGTCAGAATAATTCTGCATCTCGTGCGTAAGCGGAATTGTTTTATTCATTCTCTGAGTGATACTAATGAATAAAACAGTGTTCTTTCAAGTTTAGAGTGTTTTTCGAGTCTTTCGACTATTTCCCGCACTCTCAATTTCGTCGGTTGAGAATACAAAACGAGCCAAACGCATTTTGAATAATTCAAAACAGAAAACGATTCAAATAAAAAATCTCCCCGTGTTTGTAATTCCACGAAAATACCGCTGCGATGACTCGGCTTTCGTCCAATAACCTCCACGGGTATCTGTGAGAAATAGCGCAAACACCTGTGTGTATAAATCTCACCTGTGCGTATAAATCTCTAAAATTATACGTCTAGATCTTATTTCCGATCCCAGTCTATTTTTTCTCTCTAAATCCCACTTTTTATACCAAATTCCACTCCCAATAGTGAGATTGAAAGAATTATTTCTTAATCTATCTTCTAAATCAAATCTTGCTCCGTAGCTTTTCTTTAATTAATTAAAGGACAACAACAGCAACAAAAGAAATTATACTTTATATTTGTTAGGCATGAATATGGAATACTTAATTTTATATTTTCGTTCGCCAATTGCATTTAGTTGCTGAGAATTTTTTGTTGAAATGTTCCAAAATATTCAACAGTCATCCGCCATTTTGAAAAATCCGGCGTATGCCAATTTATGCAATTACGTAAATGGCAGGGTAAACACAATGTTTATTGTGTACTATACGTGCATGCAGTACACTTTTCAGCAAATAAACATGACAGAAATGCTTCAGTAAGCATTTAGCGTGTTTGTACCACCACCACTACCAATGATATTGTATCTTCCTTTTTTGTGAAATATAACACATAACACGCATATATAAGAAGGAAAATCCTTATGCTATATCACATCAATTATCGTGTAGGCCTATATCCTTCACAAACCTCGCTATATGGTAAACGGGTTTTTGTGTCTGTCATTCCCACTGCCAGTAACCCAAGTCCCATTTTCCCAGTCCAAAAACAGGCAAATCCCGATTCCTAATTTACCCCTTCATGGCTCTCTAAGACGGACTTATAAGACGGACTTATAAGACGCTCTCTAAGACGGATAGAATAATCGTGCATCTGCATTATATATTATGACTTCATTAAGCGATTAAGACTTTCGGTGCTACGTTGTAACACTCAGCCCAACCTATAGCCTGACCGTAAGTTAAACTAACATGATCCCAATACTAACCTAAACCCTCACCTAACCACAAGCGTGCGAATCAAACCCCTAACCCTAACCCTAACCCGTAACCTCTTATTAAGCTCAATACAACTCTTGTAAAATTCTTCCATTTTATACAGCGGCATATTTTAAATCTGAATGGTTGCGTAATCTGATTCGTTTAGATTAGTAGTACGATTTTGACCCGCACTATCCATTGATAGCCCTTCAATAAAACACAAGCACCTAGATCAAAACTTTTTTCCATGCAAGAATACAACTTTATTAAAACAACTTACGAAATATTAGAGTAAAAAAGAATGCAAGTGGTGATTATGTATCTATGTATTATGTACAAAGCAATTGATTACAAGAACATAATATAAGAATGCGTACACGTTTCGGAAATGTTTAAAAAGTTACACAGAACAGATCAGTCTCTCAGACGTCGAAACGGTGGTCGCTGATTCAAACAAAAATTCAATCAAGCATGAAATGTAATTTACGTGTGTTTCTCCTTTCTATTGCGTGAGTATATGCACGCACGTGTGCATTTTTTCCATCCACATTTCTTCTCCCAATCTTCAGCAGTCTTTTTTTCAACTTTCCACACTTCGATCTGGGTAACACTTTTCCAAAGTTGATCTTGCTCAGGCTTCCACTGACGTTTCTCCTTAACTTGTATAAATTCACCGTTTGGCATAATCGCCAAGCTATGGCCATCACGTTTTTTACCGTCCTGGTACAACTCGTAATGCATTATAAATAAAGCAGGATGTGACTCCCCCTCCATAGTGTCAATTGCCTCTTTTAAACGACGACCACGTTCTTCGGCATTTTCAATCTTCGCTAAAAACATATGTTGTTTTTCAATTAAGCCAACATCATGAAAATCTTTGAAGGCCAAACTACATTCTCCTACTTCACAGTCGACGTCAGGGAACTTACTCAAGGAACATAAGTCCTTTTGTACTTCCTTATGCAATCTTGTATTGCAGACTGGCAACCGCATCTGGTCGAAAATGAAGGAGATAACTCTGGAGACGCACGAGGTCGGGCAATAGTATTCTCTGCGGAATCGCGGCAATGTGGACGAATTTTCCTGAAAAAAATGCAATAATTAGAATTGCACACAAACATGACGAGGGATATAATCTCCCCTCAGGGAGACAGCACATTAATACATACGGAACCCACGAATCTCGTCTCGCGAACTGTGTAAAGTGCAGGGCAAATTTCGATTTGATATGTGTGTATGTATGAAATATTTGGAGTGCGCAAGACAATACGATATCTATTATTATTATTTATTTAAAAAATTCCTGGTTTCTGATTGGCTTACAACGAACTGTAAAATTGTCATATCAACTCAATGGCTAACCAAGAACAGGTTTTTCACATTCATAATAGCAAAATGACGTCAAAGAGTCAATATGAAAAAAAAATTTGGACGCGTTTGCGCCATATTACTATGACAACGAGAATCATATTGACCCGCTGACGTCATTGTTATGACGACGACGGCTGCCGAAGGACTAAGGAATTGTTTTTTCAGTCTTAATACAAATAAAATGCAAATGGCTTCTTCCACTGAAAGGTTTGCAAACCTTGGCGAAGCCGAAATTCAAAAATTACTGGAAGATAAAGATTCGTTAAATACAAAAAGATCAACAAAAGCTGCTAGAATAGGCAAGAACACTCAGTTTCCTAATTCTTTTCCTGATTTATAACGTGACGTAGGCGAACAAATAGATGACCGTTTCTTTTGGATTTTTTAAATAAATAATAAAACAATTATTGAATTCGGTTTTCGCACAATATGAAGAATTACCAAGCCCTCAGTTTGCCGTTATCAACCTCAGCCTTCGGCTTTGGTTGATAACGGCAAACTTCGGGCTTGATAATTATTCATATTGTGCTCAACCTCATTCAATAATTGTTAAATATCGTTGTGGTGTTTTGCAGTTTTTTTATAAGGATTGAAAACTGCTTTTCGATTCTGCGCAAGTGTCGAGGGAAGTATAAAAGAATAAATAAATAATAATAAATTAATAAATAATAAATTTGCAGTAATAAATTTACGTGGTGTTTCCACAAACAAAACTATTATAAGTATAGAAGAACTGAAACCATCTTTGAACACTCAGTCTAACTTAATACGTTCTAAGCTTTTTGCTTAAAATTAACTTTTTTAAAAAATGTGTTAATCTTGCATGTTTGTTGTGTTTGTCTTATGTGTAAATAGTTAACTCTTACTTTAAAGCACAGCAGTGTTTTATCAGATATGAAACGCGAGGCCCAACCGAGCGTTTTATATCTGATAAACACGACTACAAGTGCTTTAAATGGCTTAGAAAACGACTCATCTTATATGAGTTCATTGGCGAAGTAATTTTTAAAATAAACTTTGTCTAAACCGTGAAAATCAAAGCTAAAGTTTATGTAAATTAACATGATTTTTTATCACATATAAAGATACGACACGCTTATGATTTTTCTTTGCGTTTTCCTCCTGAATTATTAATGTGTTTTTAAATGTTTTTTAATATTTTAGTATTTTTTGTCTTGCGTATTTAGTAAAAATTCTGCATGCTTGCGCAATTATATATTAGTTTACGTGACACGAACACGCGGACCGTTATAATTAAAGCTAAACACGAATAATTCTTATCCTTAACTTGAAAATGATGCAAGAAGCATCGAAATCACAGAGAAAGCATATATATCTTCACTCTTTGTCAAAACGTCGTTGCAATAAAATAAAATTAATATCGCTATCATTTGTTTCAAAGTTATTGCTTTGTGGTTGCGGTTATAACAAAGAGTAGTTGACATGTATCAAAGATTTTATTAGATCTTCCTTTTTTGTGGGACTTAAATTATAAGATGCGCATGCTCGTCCACATTAAAGCATTTAAAGTGCGTATGACATACGACATGTTCATAAGAGTGTGTGATATATACCTACTTGTTTAAAATTGTCAGTGTCTTGCGCCCGGTTAGGCCCATGGCCATCTTCATTATCTTCACCACCTTGAATGCTGAGCTGCTCAAGTTCTAAATGCAGAGGTGAGTGGTCTAGCTCGTCCATTGCTAGACCACTCATTTCTAATTCCCTTACTTTGCCAATAGTATCGCCGAGTGGTACTCCATTGGGTACATTGGACGATTGCTTATACGCATGCAATTCCATTTTCAGTTCTTTAATACGTTCAGCTTGCACTTTCTTTACCCCTTCGAGAGCTTCGATTTTTTTGTTTAGCAGATATTCACGATCTTCGGTTTGGGTAGAGCTCTCCTCCATATTCTAGTTAATGAACCACAATCAGTGAGATGGTCATAGTAAGAGTCAAAACCGTGGTGGAATTACATATATATATATATATATATATATATATATATATATATATATATATATATATATATATATATATATATATATATATATATATATTTTTTTTGTGACACGTATCTGAAGAGTGCTCAATGCAGGTAAGATTTTGCAGAGCAAAACTATTATTAGTGTAGACTAAGACATGATATCTGAAGATAATTTAATAAAACCTAAACTTTTATCGTAAATAGGTTTAGGTTTTATTAAATTATCTTCAGATATCATGTCTTAGTCTACACTAATAATATATATATATATATATATATATATATATATATATATATATATATATATATATATATATATATATATATATATATATTTAATATATGAATTTTTAATCGAGATTTAAACATTGTCGCCTGAAGATCGCATTTTAAGTTAACAAATTAATTATATATATATATCTATATATATCTATATATATCTATATATATATATATATATATATATATATATATACATATATATATATACATATATATATATATATATATATATATATATATATATATATATATATATATATATATATATAAATTAAGGTACAACAATTAACAAAATCCACTAGGCATCTTTATTACTAAATAGTTTCGTACCACAAAATGTGGCACTCTTCAGATAAATTGACCTAATGACTATAGATTAAAAGTTACAAGGTTATATATGTATACAAGTGGATGAGACTTTAAAAAACTTAATCCTATTTACAAACCACGCGATTTAATTAACATGTTATGTGATAAGCTGACAGGACGCGGAAAGATTAACACACCGCGGTATATTTAAATGTCTAGCTTTTTAAATGTTACTTAAAAGGAATTTTTTATTATGCCTACATGCAGACACTAACTCATTTCGTTTGTTTAAAGTGGCCATTTTTGGCTTACAAATAATAAAGTATTTCTCCCATAAACATAAATTGCACCGATTTGAAGCACAGTTATAAGGCTTAGCTCGTTTCAATAGTTTCCATTTGATTGTATAATTGATGTTTTTGTTTTTCAATTCCCACACGTATTTGCTTAGTTCGGTAGCGTTCCGTATATATATATTTATATATATGATTTAATTATGTTAGCCATGTTCTGGGTGCAGGAACAGCTCACTTATATATAGTGTTTTTATTAAAAAAATTTTGTAGGCGATGGTCTTTTGGGAAGTGTTTTTCAACCAAGGAAAAAATTTGTTTCCGATGTTGGTCTTAAGGCATTTGTTAAAAGGTGGGTTATACAGATGATTTTCCGATCCCACAACAATAGGACACTTAACACGCGAAACAAGGACACGCACGAGAACTGCAACTGCAATACAAAAGAACAATGTCCACTTCAATACAAATGTCTCGTCTCAAACATCGTATATAAAGCACATATATAACCACGAATTACGACCCTCAAGGGAGAGATTACATCAGTCTGAGGTAACATTCAAAAAACGTTTTACTCAACACAAGAGCTCTTTCAACAACATCGATTACAGCAACAAAACATCATTGTCAAAGTATCTGTGGAGTCTACAGAACGAAGGAAAAGAATACAAAATCTGTTGGTCAAGCATTGACACAGCAAAGGCTTACAGCAACGGATCCAACAAAGCGGGTTATGCCTCTGTGAAAAGCTAGCTATCTTGAAAGGACGAAACTCCCGCCTTTCGAACACACGAGACGAACTTATCTCCAAGTGTAGAAATGAAAACATATTTTAGATACAAAATTATGAGAACGGGATAACATAACTCATTTCCTCGAGAGGTTTTAACAACTACGCATAGGCTTTAAGTAGGTTTTGAATTAACTAAGTTTTAAATTTTAAATCAGTTTTAGTTGAACACTCGCACAGGTCCCAATAGGTTTTATTTAGGCTAATTTAATGTAATTAGCACAGTAGCTTGGTATATAAAGCTCGTGTGCACCATATTCCGTTGCTGTCTGACGTCGGTAATACGTGAAACTTAAGTAGCAGCACATTAAATTATTAACTTTTTTTATTTTTAATTTTTTTAATTTTGAACAATATATATATATATATATATATATATATATATATATATATATATATATGCATATATATATATATATATATATATATATATATATATAT